TCTTGGCTCTGAGGATCGGGGGTCTCTGCAGGTTCTGGGTCCCTGCTATCTTTCTGCATTCCTTAGGTCAGTCTCTGGGGCCCTTGGGGGTCCACAGTGTCACTTGCTGCAAGGATCTGGGGTCTCTGCAGGTTCTGGGTCCCTGCTCTGCAGGATCTGGAGGATCTGGAGTCTCTGGGGCCCAGGTCACTCGCTGCACTCTTTCTTCCTATCTTTATGCTTTCCTTTAGGGCAGTCTCTGGGGCCCTTGGGGGTCCACAGTGTCACTTGCTGCAAGGAGCTGGGTCTCTTCAGTTCTTGGGTCCCTGCTCTGCAGGATCTGGAGGATCTGGAGTCCTCGGGGGCCCATGTCCTTGCTGCACTCTTCTTCCTATCTTTATGCATTCCTTAGGTGACGTTTGGCATCTTGGCTCTGAGATCTGGAGTCTCTGCAGTTCGGGGTCCCTCTATCTTTATGCATTCCTTAGGTGACGTTTGGCATCTTGGCTCTGAGGATCTGGAGTCTCTGCCTGGGTCCCTGCTCTGCAGGACCTGGAGGATCTGGAGTCTCTGGGGCCCTTGGGGGCCCACAGTCTCACTCGCTGCACTCTTTCTTCCTATCTTTATGCTTTCCTTAGGTGACGTTTGGCATCTTGGCTCTGAGGATCTGGAGTCTCTGCAGGTTCTGGGTCCCTGCTATCTTTATGCATTCCTTAGGTGACGTTTGGCATCTTGGCTCTGAGGATCTGGAGTCTCTGCCTGGTCCCTGCTCTGCAGGATCTGCTCTGCAGGATCTGGAGGATCTGGAGTCTCTGGGGCCCAGTGTCACTTGCTGCATTCTTTCTTCCTATCTTTATGCATTCCTTAGGTGACGTTTGGCATCTTGGCTCTGAGGATCTGGAGTCTCTGCATGTTCTGGGTCCCTGCTATCTTTATGCATTCCTTAGGTGACGTTTGGCATCTTGGCTCTGAGGATCTGGAGTCTCTGCCTGGGTCCCTGCTCTGCAGGATCTGCTCTGCAGGATCTGCTCTGCAGGATCTGGAGGATCTCTGCAGTCTCTGGGGCCCTTGGGGGTCCACAGTGTCACTTGCTGCACTCTTTGCAGGTTCTGGGTCCCTGCTATCTTTATGCATTCCTTAGGTGACGTTTGGCATCTTGGCTCTGAGGATCTGGAGTCTCTGCCTGGGTCCCTGCTCTGCAGGATCTGCTCTGCAGGATCTGGAGGATCTGGAGTCTCTGGGGCCCAGTGTCACTTGCTGCATTCTTTCTTCCTATCTTTATGCATTCCTTAGGTGACGTTTGGCATCTTGGCTCTGAGGATCTGGAGTCTCTGCATGTTCTGGGTCCCTGCTATCTTTATGCATTCCTTAGGTGACGTTTGGCATCTTGGCTCTGAGGATCTGGAGTCTCTGCCTGGGTCCCTGCTCTGCAGGATCTGCTCTGCAGGATCTGCTCTGCAGGATCTGGAGGATCTCTGCAGTCTCTGGGGCCCTTGGGGGTCCACAGTGTCACTTGCTGCACTCTTTCTTCCTATCTTTATGCATTCCTTAGGTGACGTTTGGCATCTTGGCTCTGAGGATCTGGAGTCTCTGCAGGTTCTGGGTCCCTGCTCTGCAGGATCTCCAGGATCTGCAGTCTCTGGGGCCCTTGGGGGTCCACAGTGTCACTTGCTGCACTCTTTCTTCCCTTGGGGGTCCACAGTCTCACTTGCTGCACTCTTTCTTCCTCTCTTTATGCATTCCTTAGGTGACGTTTGGCATCTTGGCTCTGAGGATCTGGAGTCTCTGCAGGTTCTGGGTCCCTGCTCTGCCTATCTTTATGGATTCCTTAGGTGACGTTTGTTACTTTACCATCCTGTTTTTACTTTACTACCCATTCTTTCCGTCCGCATTGGTTTCCACTGGCATCTTTGTGGCTGCTTTGTATTCTTCCTGTCGCCTTTGCTGATGTCACCAGTGTGCCACAGGCCGGGCACGGGTGCTCGTGTTTGGGGCTGGGGATCCTGGCTCCGTTCTCCACGCGAAATTGATGGCCACACACAGCTCTATGATCGATACACCCTGTTGCAAGCGGGCTCTCTATGGTGCCCTCACAAAATGGACACCGGTAGGTATGCTTGACACTGTTCGGGACCGCTCCCCTGATTGCGCCGTTGTGCACCCGAAATTGATGGCCACACACAGCTCTATGATCGATACGCCCTGTTGCGCGTGGGCTCTCTATGGTGCCGTCACAAAATGGACACCGGTAGGTGTGCTACTACTACTCTACTACTACTACTACAACTACTACTACTCCTGCTGCTATTACTACTACTACTACTACAGCTACTACTACTACTACTACTCCTACTACTACTACTACTACTCCTACTCCTACTGCTACTACTACTACTACTACTGCCACTGCTAGTACTACTACTACTACTACTACGACTACGACTGCGACTGCTACGACTACTACTGCTACTACTCCTGCTACTACTCCTACTACTACTACTACAACTACTACTACTCCTGCTGCTACTACTACTACTACAGCTACTACTACTACTACTACTCCTCCTACTACTACTACTACTACTACTCCTACTCCTACAACTACTACTCCTACTACTACTCCTAACTTGCTATTCCCATCCATGCGAGGACACAAACTGCCGTTCCTGATGTTTGATTCCGGGGTCGGCGGCAGGGGCGGCAGCCCTTAAATAAATATATATATATATACATATGTATATATACACACGTATATATATATATAATATATATATCACCCTCCCCAGGGGTTTTGTACACCCCCCCTCCCCTTCATACATTTTTTGTAATGTCTGAATATAGGGGGGGACACCGTCGATTTTAAAAAGTCAATTTACATATTGCATGTGAAAAGTATGAAGCCCATGGGGGAACGGTGTTCCCCCATGGCCTTCATACATTAACTCAATAATGTATGAAAGTAGGGGGGGAGGGTGTTGTTTTGGCGGGAGGGACTGATACCTTAAAATGTATGAAACCTAGGGGGGACACCGTTGATTTTCTTCAAGCAGAAATCATGGGAACGACTTTTCAGACATGACGACTTCCATCAAAATCTGCTGCTTTTCTCTCCAGCTGTTGTCACGGTACAAATTGAGATTAGTTGAGCTGCATACCCTGCACAGGTCTATCGAGGCCTCGGTTTCTAAGTGATAGTAAGATATGATGATGTTATCAACTTACATGGAAATCTCTGAAAGAATAAAATACTTCTAATAAAATACTTCTATATAATGTCAAAAACGATCTGCAATGTGATAGTCGGATATGGTTAGATAAGGTTTGATTTGGTTTGACACACACACACACATCAAAAAAAAACAAGATCCAATAGAATCCTTTTACGTCCTTGTGTAGCAAACAAGACCGACCTCATAGAAAATAAGTGCTCTGACGATGCCAAAAATGTATGAATGAAGAGTCACCAGAAAAAACAACAAAAGCAAAAAACAAAAGCCACAAAAAAAAAACCAAAACCTGGAGTCTGACAAGTTTTGATTATCTTGTGTTTTGCTAGTTTGTTTTCTTTCTGTGTGCTCTGGTATTGTATTTTTTAAACCGCTATATTCTTTATGTTGTTCGGCTCAAAAGCCTGGTATACAAAAAGGTTCAAAACAAACTCCTTACAGTCATTTTTGGCTCGAAAGAAAAAGAAGAGTCAAAAATGTATGAAAGGAAGGGGGGACAGGCCCACCCCTCCTTAGAATACATTTTCTGAATTTCTGGGTTCGATATGTTTTTAGACTTTAGACATGGTTGGATATGGTTGGATACACACAAAATCCAATCAAATCCTTTTGTATGTCCTTGTGTACAAACCAATACTACCTTACATATTTGTTTGGGTCAAGAGAAAAAGAAAATTCGAAAATGTATGAAAGGGGGGGGACAGGCTCACCCCTCCTTAGAATACATTTCGAAAATATGTGGTCCTGGTTAGATTTGGTTGGATACGCAAAATTCCGTTCATTTGCCCTTGTAGTCTGTCACCGGCTTCAACAGAGAAAGTTGATTCCAGCAAAAATGAAGAACAAAACAAAAAACAAAAACACAATCAAAACACAGAATCGCCAAAAGCAACCCGCAAGATTCACCATATAAAACAACAAAAACAAAAAAAACACAAAAACGGCAAACAACATCAATCAAAACCTGGAGTTTGACAAGTTTTGATTGTTTTGTGTTTTCCGAATTTGTTTTTTTTCTGTGTGCTCTGGTTTTGTATGTCTTAGACCCTGTATTCTTTATGCTGATCGGCTCTTTCGGCTCAACAAGCGAGGGGTGTGGCCAAAAAAGGCTTTCGGAAAAACGGCGGCCGGCAAATCAATCATGTTTTTTTTCAGTTCAGCAACTTGGGTGTCTAGAAAAAACACGAAAAGTATAAAACTAGGGGGGCAGTGAATTCCAGCTGACTTATGAATATCGAAAAATAGACACACGCACGTAAAATGTATAAACCTCAGGGTTCATGGAACACTGAGGAATCCTGGGGATGCCCACGGAATGGTTGTCCAACACGTACGTAAAAAGTATAAAGGCTCAGGGGTTTAAAACCCCTAGGAACCCCAGGAATTCCAAAACATGTGCAAATGTATCAAACTAGGGGGGGGGGAGTTCGAACTGCCTTTGTCCACCCCATCCATCTTAGACCCCCCCCCCCGCGAACGTTACGTGGTGTATAAATTTTTTCCCTGGGGAACTCTAGGAAGAAACACGTAAAAAGTACATTTTTGGGAGCGTACCCCCCCCCTCTCTTGTACTTTTTACGGGGGTGGGTGATATATATATTATACATGTATATTTAGAAAGTGCAAATGTATCCGATGTCTTCCAATCTGATGTGCGGATGGTCAGTGTCATGACAATGTCATCCACCTGATACAGCCTGAGCCATGTGGCCAACTTGCCTCACATGAACCCCCTAGAAGTGCAAGAATATCATGGAACACCTTTCCGGCCAGTCCCACTCCCACCCATTCAGATCATTGCTGACCCGTGCTGTTTTGGTCCTCATCATTCTGTGCCTTTGGCACCACGAAGCCGTCTCCTTCGATGGCCCATTCCGCACGGTGTGCATCTGTCACCAGCTGAGCATTGACAGAGCTGGTCAAGATACCTGGAGATTTGCCCAGCAACTGACCCGACCCCTATGACTCTGGCACGTTTGATAAACATTGGGGCTGCAGGTTACAGCAATGGCTGTCAAGCCAATACTGTATCTGAAGATACCCGGTTTTTATTGCTTTTCCCAAGAGTTTGCTTCTTTTTTTCGTTGTTGAAACAATCTGAATTTACCACTGAAGGGCCACTTTCATTTAACATCATTTAACCTTCTCATTATTATTGGCAGTGCCTTAAAATGGCTTCTCCATATTCCCTTCCATTTTCCCTGATGATCCGATGGTGCCTTCAAAGACATCATCATGCATACGCTTTTCGGGCGGCCGGCGAAAATCCATCGTATCTTGGGACGCAAAATGTTGCACCAGGACAGCGAAGCGTAGCTGCTCCTGTGGCTATGGCTTGAAGTTGATGAAAACACCATTGGGTTATACGAGAATCCTGCGTGATTTTTGAACATTTTGAAATAGTAGCTTTGCAAGGGATGTCCCTGCCCAAGGGATTAAAACTCACATGGCATTTATGTTTTGGGGAAACACCCAGGCTTGGATCCATCCTTGGACAGGTTCTGTCTGCTGCGGAAGTCATCGAAACTCTGCAAAAAAAGCCTGGACCTGGAAGTATGGCCTGCAGTGCTGCGCGACTCCAAACATGCTGTAAAGTCAGTTCCAAGAATCATCAAACATCTGATCTCTATACACGAAAAAACCGCTTGCGGAAGCTGACAATTTTTGTGGCTCTGCAGACTGCAATCCGCAAATGCTAAATTTTGGCCCAACATGCGAGCCAAGACTCTGTCCACATTCTCTGGTCCAATGTGTGCATCCCAAAAATTCAACTTTTGAGGTGAAGGAGTCTGGCCTGCTTCAGCCTCGGCTCTCAACTCGCCCTGTGTTGCTGGGTGTTCAATATGTTCAATTTGTACCCTTCAGAGCAGGACTGCGCCGAACCTGCACATGAAGCCTCGAGAGTCTCTGCTCATCTCTGCAAATCAAAGCTACACATCCAAAGTTGCAATGCCTTGTGCAACAGGCAACTGTGTGGGTGACCTTCCAAATCCCTTTGCACATCCATCACTTTCATCCGTGTTCAAGCGTGCAAGGGCATGTATAGATGGAGGAACAACCAGTTGCCAAGCTACGTATTGCTCTTTCTCCTCTTGACAGCGCAGCTGCAGCTCTTCAAACCAAGCTCTGACGCAGGGCTCCACTGCATCCAAACGCTCAGGCAGTGGGTCATGACCTGAGAGTGGTGGAACCTGGCCCCAAACCTGACCCCGAAACAAACACAGGAGGATTCCTTTCCAGCCGCGTCACGGATTCTTGACGCCAAAGGCCCCATGGCAGCGCAGCATCTGGAGGATTGGCATTAGCATCCAGTGGTTTAGCATCCAGTGGTTGCGTGTCCAGTAGTTGGCGCAGCTTGACTTTGTTTCTCATGTTTCGGGCTGGGCTTCTAAGGTCAAAGAAATTTAAGCCTCCAATCAATGTTCCAAGATGTTCCAAGTATGTGCACCCTTCTTAACCTCACGTACCCTTGACTTTGGGGGCCCAGTCGGCTGACTTGCTGATTGGGGCAATTTGGGACACATTTTCAAACCAGTCGCTTGTTAATTTTTGCAGCAAAGGCAGGGGCTGTTGGGCCGTTGGGGATGTCGATTCTCTATGTGCTTCGGACTCCGGCATTTTGGGACCGTATGCTTGAACCAGCTTGACGGTTCAAAGCTCAAAGCCTACTATAAGCCTATTATAGGAATGTTGTTTTAGTTTTGGCTGGGAGGCCGCCAAGCATCAGTGCAAGTGAAAGGACCAGAAAGAGCTCGGGTGTCAGCAATGCAAACAACACGCACAGCTGAGAATTGGGGCCAAAGATGCCAAAGCACCTTTTCGCTTTGCTGCTTGCACCAGGTTTCACAGTGACCAACATGCTTAACATTTGCCCACGGCCTGGCAATTCTATGTACAAAATATATCAACACATAGACAGACTCCCCGGTCTTCGGGGAGGTCTTTGCATCTCCTCCAACGGCTCTAGCGTTGGAGTAGCTGAGCTAAAAGCTCTTCAGGAATGGATTGGCCAGGCTTCATGTTCCTGAACCTCGACGACTTGCTGGCACTCTTGAGCCTCCAGCGTGTCTCTGCCTACTGTGATCTCCCCCATGGCAACAGGAACTAGGCAACGCTGCAATATATACATCCAGATGCATCTAGATACATCTAGTAGGTTGGAATCGTGGATCATTCAACAACTGGCTTTTGGTTCCATGTGGTTGAGCACATGGAATGGCGACCAAGCATCCAAATGCGTATGGGAGTCAGCAGTCATTGTTGCACGAGCCGCTTGAAAACTCCATGAATTAACCGGATTTCATTTGATATCAATCATATTCATTCATAATCCTTATCCACATCATTCCACATCCACATCTACAATCATCAATGTACAACATCACTGTCCCACTTCCAGCACCGTTCCAGTGGCCAGTTCCAGTACCTGGGTCCACTGGGTCCCACTGGGCACCTCTTTGGCCGGGAGGTTACGGTCAGTGCGGTCCCCTGTCGTCGGAACTGCAAGTTTCGACGCAGCGGCTCCAGCTTACGCAAGGCGCGCAGGAAACTCGCCTCCCACGGCGGTTCCGGCCTTGGCCATCCATGGGGATGGGATATGACATGAGACATGATAGACACACACACACACACACATACATACATACACACAGATATATATATATATATACACAAAACAAAACACAATATAACACAACATAACATGACATGACCTGACGTGACATAACATTACATTACATTAAATTACATACATACATACATACATGCATGACATGACATGACATGCCATGCCATGCCATGACATGACATGACATAACATTACATTAAATTACATACATACATACATATATGACATGACATGACATGACATGACATTACATTAAATTACATACATACATACGTACATACATACATACATGCATGCATGACATGACATGACATGCCATAACATGACATGACATGACATAACATTACATTAAATTACATACATACATACATGCATGACATGACATGACATGACATGACATAACATTACATTGCATTACATTACATTAAATTACATACATACATACATACATGCATGACATGACATTACATTAAATTACATACATACATACATGCATGACATGACATGACATGACATAACATGACATGACATTACATTACATTAAATTACATACATACATACATACCTACATGCATGACATGACATGACATGCCATAACATGACATGACATGACATGACATAACGTTACATTAAATTACATACATACATACATGCATGACATGACATGACATGACATGACATAACATTACATTACATTACATTAAATTACATACATACATACATGCATGACATGACATGACATGACATGACATAACATTACATTGCATTAAATTACATACACACATACATACATACATGCATGACATGACATGACATGACATGACATGACATGACATAACATTACATTACATTAAATTACATACATACATACATACATGCATGACATGACATGACATGACATAACATTACATTACATTAAATTACATACATACATACATACATGCATGACATGACATGCCATGACATGACATGACATGACATAACATTACATTAAATTACATACATACATACATGCATGACATGACATGACATGACATTACATGAAATAACATTACATTACATAACATTACATTAAATTACATACATACATACATGCATGACATGACATGACATGACATGACATAACATTACATTACATTAAATTACATACATACATGCATGACATGACATGACATGACATAACATGACATAACATTACATAACATTACATTACATTAAATTACATACATACATACATACATGCATGACATGACATGACATGACATGACATAACATTGCATTACATTACATTAAATTACATACATACATACATGCATGACATGACATGACATGACATGACATGACATAACATTAGATTACATTACATTAAATTACATACATACGTACATACATGCATGACATGACATGACATGACATGACATTACATTAATTCAGGCACACATCAGCAAGCTGCGTTTGCCAGGGAGCAATATCAGCCCTTCCCAGGGGTTGGGCGGTTCGGGAATGCCATTGGCCTGCAAACCGACGCCAGCATTTTCGGCCATCTGCAGCGCATGTGTCCCCAGCAGCAACGAGCTGGCCATCTCCCTTTGCACGTCGACGATTTTGTTCTCCAGCCTCAGAATCTTGCCATGACAGGGACCACGCTAAACACGCAGGATTCGTTGATCAAAGGAGTGCTACACGTGAGGCCTAAGTCTATCCATGGCACCTGTGAACTGGAGGATTGGATGTGAAATGATGTGAAGTGGTGAGTTTCTCACAACACATGCTGACCCCACACGTGAAAACAAGTCATTACATTATATTACATTCCCTTATCACTGTGGTGGGCAGCCACTTCCCATTGGTATAAAGTAAGTAGAATTAAGTGGACTCATTATGGACCCTATGGCCTCTGCGAGCTGGGTATTCTGAAACAAATCACTTTCCCGCATTCTCCATTCACCCCAGCGCCGACTTGATGCAGTGATGCCGAAGTTGATTCATTCGGGAAATCTGAAATCAATAGATGTACGCAACCTAGCACACAATTTAGAACATATACCTCATGCTGACATCGTGCTCATACATTGCATGAAAGCAGGTTGCACAAATTTCGCTATCTATAGCATTCCCTAAAATTCACTTTGCAAACTCCCCAGCTTGAGCACTGGCACCTGCATGTCTCAACAGTGCCTTGATCTCCGATGGTCGCCTCCCTCAATTCCAGCTCCACATGCTGCCGTAAGTCTACGAAGCGACTGAAGAGCGACTGCGATGCTTGGTGTAGACGAGTCACCATTGATTCACCTCGGACAAACTGATCAATCTGTTGGAGAATATCTATCACATGCTACAATATGCCATTCACATCAATCGCGCATGTCATACACATGATTTGGGATGATTTGGGTATACATGGTATACGTATGTATATATGGATCACATGGGTATAGTCAGGTAACTCATGCACTTTGGACAAGCAAGTCACAGCTCTGACGATTCTCGCTGATGAGATGAGGCCACTTGTCCAGGTCTTCCATCATGTTCTCCAAGTCATGTCTTAAGTTTGTTACCTGTAATAGCAACCAGCTGGGCAGAAAAGGGCAGAAACACAGACTGCAAATATCTGCCATCCCTCTGATGTACTGATGTTGGTTATCACATTGCTTTATTGAGAATTAGGGGGAAAACCATGAAAAAAAAACAATTGTCAATCCATTTCCCACCATTTTCACCAGCAATCTCAGCATTTTGGGGGATCCCCCAAATGTATTTATAATATTTTATAATATTTTTATAATATTTTATAATATCTATACAACTATGGTCCATACGGATCTCGCGCCTTGGATTGCATGGCCACACAGGTGAGCAGCTTCGTGCTGGCCACCAGGCCTTCCTGACGCTTCCCCTTGATGTGGGACAAGATGAGCTGTGCCACTTTCCGGAAACGCTCCAAAGCCTTGAATCAAGGCTAGATATGGCATGATATGGCTCCCATTGAACCAATGCCCGGAATGTGGGATGATGTCGGATGCAAATCTGTTCCAATGTTTGGAAATGTGTTGAAACTGCTTGGACGCTTCTGTCAAACATGCCTTCTTTGCTGTTCAAAACATTGGCTGACGACCAGCCTTCATCTGGCATATCTAATCTAGCATTCAACATCCCTTTCCTGACAAGTTTTGCTGAGGCACACTCGGCTTCGCTTCATTCTTCATCCGCACAGCTGAAGACGTGGATTCCAAGATCACAGAGCTGGAGCTCCGGGGGGGGGCATCTGAAGCTGCCGAACTAGCTGAGACAGCTGACACAGCTGAGACTACTGAGACTCCTCGTGGCAAAGTTGGCCAAAAGCTTGCTCAAATACCCAAAAATACTATAAAATACAGGTCTCTGGGAGATTGTGGGAGACCAGCTTTAAAGTTGTGAAATTAGCATCAGCCACAAGGCGTGCACTACTGAGTTGGGCTCACGCAATTGCCCACTAGGGGGTGCAGTAAGGCATCGCTGACAACAAACGAATTTCAGAAACCATTTAACATTATTTGAACATTGACATTGACCAGAACAAGCGCGTGGTGTGTGGGACAACTGCCAACATTGCCAAGATTCCCATCATCAGCTTCTTCCTGATTGCCGGTTTAAAATCATGGTAGGGAAGGGGATCTAAGTCGTCTTCCCTTGGCATTTCATCTAGTCAATCTAGTCTATTTGGGTGCAAACCTTCAAACAAACATCTTCCAAGGTTGAAGGACCCAGCGTCATGTTGAAGGTCCCCTTCTTCTTATGCGAAGCAGGCTTTATAGAGATCTCACGCGTCACTGTCGAATATCCCATGACTTGATCAGCCAGATCTTCGCACTTGTTGAGGAGTTTTTGCAGTCGCGTGTCTGCTCGTTCTAGGGAGTCCAATCGCCACATGACCCACTTCCAAATGGTGCAGGGCGGTATATCTTCTTCAGGTGCATCGGGGAAGACTGGCACATGTGAAGGGACTGGTGTCTTTTCCAGAGACTCAGCAAAACCCGTGCCGTGCGCCTGCACCTCAGGGGTGTCGTCGTGACACCCCGTGACATGCCATGACATGCCGTGACTCGCAAGATCTTACAAGTCACCCAGAAGGACATGTCCCATCCTGTCCCAAGAGGCCCCAAGGCTCAAGATAATCAATGTAGATGGGGCACATCGAGATGTATTAATGGGATTTACTGGGGGCATGGCAATGGGTACATGGCCTAAATGGGCCCCCACTCTTGACCATCATCCCCCCCCTTCTCGGGGCAGCAGTGCCTGCAAGACCAACTCCCTGAGTTCGGTCAAGTTTCCCAAGACGGCAACCTTCAAGACCTCATCCACCAAGGATAACATCCCCCAACTGTGCAAGCGACTGCTGAGCCAATCTTGCCAGTCCATGCTTGGACCCTCTGATAGATCTGATACCATTCCATCCTCAAATGCAAATGCGGCGAGTTGGAAGACAAATTGACAAACATCTTCAAGTTCCTCATGCCAATGAATGTAGGACGAAGTACTCATTGGAAACGAGCTTGGAAGTTCGGATGGTGTGACTCCCACCATGTTAAGTGTTGAGTGGAAATCCCCATCTGAGCCCAGCTGGCAAACAATAGTCGTTTTAGAAAGAACATGGGGGGTTGGTTCTTGTAACCCCCAAAAAAATCAAAACTGATGCAAAGTCTGCCAACGTCGTCTGCAACGTCTTTCGTGGCAGTTGGCGTGCCATCTTCTTCAAAGCCTTCCGATAGATCCGACTTGGTCTTGCCGAAGGAGGTCACAGATTCTTTCGAACGCATCCTCAGGCAGTTGTCCTTCCCGACCTCGGCATTCGTCCCGGTTCCGTCAAAGTGAAGATGCTTGAAGAGTCGGGAAGAATTAAGAGACAAAGCTGGACCTTTCTTGTGATATTCCTCAGGATGAAGAGTGTGGAACAGTATATTATAAAGAACTTCATGGATGGACCTGTTGACATTCTACTATTTCAAAACCACCAGGACTACAATCACCCACTGTCTGGGATGGACAGAGGCAATGAGAGGCCGGAGCCAAGAAACACTGACACTTCAAACACTTCTACTTTCCCCATCTTTCCCCTCAAACTGTCAATCTAAAAAAAAATGCAGCTCATAGGAACGTTTGTCTTCGCCTCTAGTGCCATTCTTCGCTGCCAGTGGCCGTACGGTGTCGCTATCTTCGGTTCATCTTTCAGTAGCTTCACACATGCAATGTCCAGGTATGGCCATCTGGTGTCACGTTCATAGACCATCTGTCGCGGCTTGATCTTGGCCTTTGGCCGCGATCCTGGTGCAGCTGGAATGGAGGACTCCGCAGCTTCCGCGGACTTCATGAAGCATTGCACTTCCCGCAGAATCCGACGCTGGTGCAATGGGTGTGCGATTCCCATCTCCGCCAACGTCTCGGTGGTGAGCGGAGCTGACGTGACGTCGGGAGAGGCTTTCTCCTAGCCGAGATTCGTTGATATGCTGCGAGAGCCTAAAGGATCAAAGGGTGCAGCATGATATAGCATGATTAGAGCGTAATGACGAAGGCGAAGATGAATAAGGATGGGCTATGCAAGGTTGATGCAGGCAACCTGGGTACCTGCGATGATGAAGCCCACAATCTCGCGAGTGTGTGTTTCATTTTTGTCTGATATTTTCTGCATGAATTTTAAAATTTCACATGTGAATGACTATTGTATATGCATACAAAACTGTATGTGGCACTGCAGCGTTTGGAGCTCAGAGCTATGGTATGCGGATCTCCTCCAAGTTTGTCCGCAGCTGCGCCACCATCCAATCTGGCAAGTTCCGCCTGGGCGTTTGACCGACTTAATGCCCCAAGGCACAAACCCAAACAATCGTTATCAATCGATATCGATCGTTCTGAGAGAACACATCATTGGCTTCAACTTCTTCAATTTCTGGAAGAAGAACACCATCATCGCAAACTTGCACAAGCCTTTGCAGTGAGATCATGTGTTCTTTCCTACCCACGCTGGAAGACGTGCATCAAGCTCTTTCACTGAGGAAATGACGTGGCCAGGAAGCTGCAGAACTCATCGACCTTCAATGCCATCAGGGCAAAGGAGACAGCTGGACTCCACAACCTGCAGCTTGGCAATTTCATCCGTTCATGTGAAGCGTATCCCAAAAATGTGTCAGAGACAGAGGTTATCAGCAACACATTTTTTAAACATGCCAATATATGCCAATGATATGTCAGTGTTGATCAATGTTGATCAATGTTGATCAATGTTGACTGATGCCGCTACATATTGTGACAATGTCCACCCCCCACGCTTGCCTTGAAGGGCTGCTGAGGTGCTTCGCTGGCGAGCCCGCGACCAAACGCGTAGCTGCTCATCAAAATGTTTGCAATAGCTTTGGGTCTTGTCTTAATGACTTATACAAACGCTTCTGATGTTCTCGATCTATCTTAATGCAGGTTCCTAGCTGAAGTTTGAGATGAGCTTGCCACTAGCATGAATGTTAGTCTTGACAGGTTCAAACACACGAAACATAAGAACCAGCATTGGCCACCAGAATTATTTACAAGAGAGGTATATATATATATATATATCATACCCATTACTTCTGGTTGGCCACTGGGTGCATAACATGTCTTTGCTTTGGGGTGAAACCTTTTGAGCCTAGATGCTTCACACCCAACGGCATCCTAGCCTACTCCTAGCCTACTCCTAGCCAGTACAGATTCCGCTCTGCTTTGGAACTGCAAATTGAACGCACGCTGACCCACAAATCTTGGTCTTGCACTGAGTTTCAAGATGTTTCAAGGTTTGACACGGATCCCTTGTCCCTTTGCCTTGCTCTCGGCTCTGTCTCGAGAAGGCTTGAGCTTCCAAGCTGGCCTGCTGCAAGGAGATTCGGGGCTAAATGGCAGGACCTTCCCAACGCTGCATGTCAAAAAGCACTCCTCTTGAGTTCTTGGCATCAAAACAAGAAAGCAAAAAGCACAGAGCAATGCATTTCATTCATCCCTCAACGAAAACTCTTGGCATCCCCCAGGCTACAACTGAACCGCAAACTCAGTCGGGTGAACAGCAACGCGTCTACCCGGAAGCCTGGGAATGGATCTGTCTCAGCTCCTCTGCTGCAACTGGACCTAGGCCGCCCTTAACAAAAAAACACAAGTCATCCTGGCGTGCTCGTGACACAACAAGGTCAAAATGGCATCTACTTGCTCAACCAGTGTCAGGACCTTATTTCATCTTATTTCTCCCCACTTTTGGATATCTTCTAGTATCATCCACCTCATGAACCTTTTTGTGTCCATCGAAAACGTGCATTTGTATGCAATCAAAACATATCAAAACATATCAAAACCATGTATATTGCAGATCATTGTAGATCTGTGGTAGCTGCTTTTTGGGTAGCTGCAAACCCGCGTTTCACAAACCAACTCCCAATCTGTCCGACACTGCCGAGCCCTGGGCGATCTTCCCACACGTGCCGCGAAGCACCTATAGAGCTCCAGCGGTTTGAGAATTCTGCGGAATGAAATGTGTGGACTTTTTTTTTTTTTTGGTTGTGAACCCACAAAAAATATGATAGATTCAATTCTGATCACACAAATCCCAATTGGGTATCTATAATTACACTGTTTACAGTTTACAGGCAATTTCCAAATGAGCAAATTGGGTGATGCATGGTGGGTTTAAGGCACTGACAATCATCGATAATCATTGAATGCGATTGATTGAATCATTGTTACATATCCAATCATCGCAATCATATCCACCCGCGTCCGGTGTTCCTGCAGGAGGCATCCAGTCTTACAATGGTCTTTTCAATGCTATATTCCGGCAACTTCGGCGTCGGCGGCTGTCTCATTGTCGCTGCCAGAGGGGTGCCTAAACTCACCTGGAGTTGACCATATTTTAGCGATGATATGGGCTGGTCAGCAGAGGAATCCAGAGGAGATCCACTGTTTGAACTTGTCACAAGAATGGTCAGGGCACCATATCCATGCATCCAGGGCCGGCGAAATCAACAACCCTGGCACCATCGAACTACACGAGCTCAGCTGGTCCAACTCTCCTGGAGTATGCCCTACTGCTATCTACTGCGATCATCTGCGATCTACTTCTACTGATACTTCTTGCATCTTCTTGATACACCGATACACCATTTGCCGCTTCTGCCCTCACTTGCTTTCAGCTTTGGCGAAGTCTTGCGCCACCATCTTCGATGTAATCCTGGGTTCACATTCTTGACGTCAGACGAAATATGTTAACATATTAAATTAACATAAATTAACATATCCGATTGCAAGCGGAGGCTAAAGATCTCTAAATTGCTCCCTAATGCGATGCCATTTGTTCGAGCATGTTCGATGATTTTTCATCTGAAGAGCCTCTGGGGGTCACCACCTGCGCCTCACCAAGGACCAAAGGCCCAAAGGTCCAGGCTGTACACTATACAGGCTATACATCACTGTACATGTCTTGGGCAGGATGGTCTCTTTCACGCGTGCTTTCCTTCAGAACCTATAGGCGATTTACGGCATGGGACTGTGTGTCAGTGTGGGATGGCATGGATCAAAATCTTGTGGTTTGACTATTGTCTACGACAGACATAGGCTGTAGGGTTTGGTGACACAATTTCTGACCCAGGCATGCAGAGGCTAGCATTCCTCGGATGAGTGCCCCAGACTCAGCTTGCTAAGCTGGGCCTTAACATGCCGCATCGCACTTCGATTATACTTCTGATTCCTCTTGGATTTAAGAGGCCTGAGTCTCGGCCATTCGTCAGAGCAGTCACATGGGTAAGGCTCAAGCTGATCAGACTTTTCTTTTGGCACCTGTTTCCAAGATCGCTTTGAATTTCTGCCCAAATCCCGGTGCAGAAGGCGGGGGCATAAATCCTGCAGAAACACTAAATCACGGAGGACGTTTGGAGGGTCGTCAGGAGGGCAGCAGTACATGCAGTCGCAGCCTATATCCCACCATTCTTCATGGAAATTAGCTTTCTCATCAAATTCCAGCAAGAGCTGCCCTTGCTGGTGGGATCCTTCCAGTGCCTTCTGCAAGTCTGCTCTCAAACCGGGGATCTTCTCGTTCTCCAATTTTCGCCAAAGAGCGTGCTTCTTGAAATCCTCGTGCCCGACTGTTTCTTCCATGTCTCCCAAGCGAACTAGCTTTGGAAGCCGAAAGACTAGCCACTTCTCTTGCTGCAATGGCAAAGTTCCCTTCAATTGCTCGATTGTTCTGTCGATCTCTCTGAAACTAGTGCCTGCGACACACAGCTGCCTTCGTTTCCGGGTCAGCTCAGTCTTCAAATCTACCCATTTCGCAACTTGCTTCTTACAGGCTTGCAAGTCCTCCTTGAAGATACGCAAGTGCCTTGAGAGCTCCATTCTGTCTCGGTCCACCACTCCGAAAAGGGGGCCAGGTTCAGAGATTTGGAAGGCTGCCAAGGCATCAGCCAGGCTCGCTGTTCCACAGAGAACCTGCCCTGCACAGCTGATCCTTACTGCCTCGGCGGAAGCTCCCAGGGCCTTGGCCACTTTGGTCTTCACTTGATGCAAACTTTCCATGGGCTGCACCAAAACGGATTTGCCGTTGAGGCAAACCACCTCCATCTGTAAGAACTGGGAGCAAGCCAGGTACGGGAGTTGATTGAGCCAAACTGCAACTTGTTTGACTTTAAAGTGGAGAGGGGAACATGGCAGAACAACGAAATCAATGAGCGTGTATACAGGTACTGCGTCATATTCACGAGGAAAATGACGCGCACCTTGAAAAATATGGCATTGGCCCATTGGCATCGCCGCATCGCTATCAAGTAGCCAAATGTAGTCAACACATGTCAACAATAGTCCATGAAATTTCCATAAGATCCATAAGTCCATATCCATCCATATCCCAGATGAAAATCGGACGAGGCTCGGGTGATAAGTTCCTCTGGCCTTCTCGAAGGCAGCCTTTGCCCTCGCCATTCGAGCAGGCTCCTTCATCCTCAGCCGACCAATATCGACATCTGCTATGCTGATTGTGAAAAGGTTTAATAGGGTTTAATTATAAGATTTTGTAAGACAACAAGGAAAGCCAAGACAAGTCCTTCCATCATCAGGGCGCCTCTGTGGGTGCTTGGAAATTTTCAAAGGGCGTAGCTACAAAGACAGAAGGGTGCTGCGTGCTGTGCTGACACGCCACAGCTCCCGATAGAGTGGGCGAGTGAACTTCATCCTGCCCACCTGAGAGTCTGAGAGGAGCCCAACTTAGGAATACACAGGAAACAAATGGAAACAATATGAAACACAATTGTTACTCACAATTGTTCCTACATATCAAGCATCTTCACCGACAGTGAAACAATCATCAGCACACAATATACACAATACTCAATGGATTGGTTTAAGGGAAAATTTACAGGAAAACCCTATATTTAATGGGAAAATCTATGGTTTCCTGTAAATTTTCCCTTAAACCAATCCATTGAAATACACTACGAAGATTCCCCTTGGGATGGCCTCCAGTGCCATGGCGATGGCGGCATCCACTCGTGATGGGTCATGGCATGCCATGGCCAAAATCAACCAACGGAACCGGATCTCTGCATTGCTGGTGGCATCCTCAGTCGCTGAGACATGTTGGCTGATTAGCTGATTAGCCAAAAGGGGCTAAAGGGGCTAGTAGTTTGCTGGTTTCTTGGGGGTTCATTATACTTGGGTCATGCTTCAGTCCTATGGCCACTTTGCTTCGCTTTGCATTCGCTTTGCCTTATCCTGTTCTGCTTCGGACACAAGCTTCACCTACACACTGGACTTTAATTGACTTTGCTCATTGCTCCAAGTTTCCAAGCCATACGCCTCGCTCCACGTGCTGAGACGTTGTCGCACCTAGGTGAGACATAATTACTGCGTGGTGAAAAGCCCGCTGAGTTTCATATGGTCTGAGTTCTCATCTATACTTATGCTTGATATATCAGTTGCAACCCAAGTTATTGCGACAAAGATCCAAATCATGCCTTGTGTGAAACGTTTTATTATAATTACATTAGTATGCATTGATCGCAGTTGCACACATGCATTCATAAACTAGTAGATACATGTAGATACAGTTACACAAATGCGTTTAGACTTAGACTTGTAGCATCATGCATCAACATATCAACGTATTATTAGATCTTACTAGTGTCGGGGTGATTTCTGTGGAAGCTACTGCGTTTCTCAGACACCTTGCCTCATCCGCTTTGCCAGCAGCAGCTTGCTCGCGAGCGTAGTCCACCAGCCGGTCCAAGAGCAGCCTCAATGACAAAGGTGGACGGCACAGTGTTGTGACCAGCACCTGTAACATCCTGCAACAGCTCTCCAAGGACCATTTCGGGGTCATATTGAGTGGAAAATGACCAAAACATCTACACATGAGATCACATGAGAAGGCATTTCTTTCAAGCACCAAATGACTGCTGGAAGTCTCTGCACGCCGGTGGCGTCGTGTCACGTGTGCTTGCTGGCTATGTACAGGTCTGCAAGCAATGTAATCAATATATTTACTGTTGGATTGTCTATCTACCTTCCCCATCTGAGCATTCCATACCAGGATTGTCTGTCAAGCATGTTATTTTTGGTGTCGCCGTCATTTTGGGGATTGCACGGGTAGAAGGTAAAGCAACATAAAGCAATATATATATATATATGCATAGTAAAACATGGTGGTTAGTAACCTAACCGTGGAACCGCAGGAACCTGAACCGTAGGAACCGAACCGAGTGGAACCTAACCGTTGTGAACCTAACCGAAAAGATTCGCCATGGAACCGTCAGAACCGATCGAACCGAACCGACCGAACCGAAAGCAGATATACCGAACCGATCGAACCGAAAGCATCGGGGTTCCATTTCATTATGTGAAGCTGTGCAGGAGTTTTAGAGCGGTCTAACTTTTGTGCATAGGGCCTCAGGCTTTAAAATGCACAAAAACAATGAAAACTGGTTCTGCAACAAAATGCCTTGCCAGCAAATTCATGCCCGAATTTGCATCCAACTTCATCCAATTTCGAAGACCCTCAGAAACGCCTCTTTAAAAAGGGGTCAGGAAATTCTTTTTAGATAGGGGTATTTTAGAGTGAAGGTGCCCGAATATTAAGTGTTTTTTTTTCTTTTTTTTTTTAAATAGCATTTTATAGCAACAAAATACGGTGGCATTCTTTCGTGGCAATTCCTTAAAATTCCTGAAAAATCCTTTAAATTCCTTAAAATCCTCAAATTAGTAATTAGTAAAAGTAATAGTAATAGTAATAATAATAGTAATAATAAGATATAATAAACATATAATCATACTGTAATATACTATAATATCATCAGTGCTTGGATTCCTAGGGTCGCAATTCTTCCGCCTGATGTCTCCATTTCTCCAAGGGGCATAGTCTGCGCAGGAAACCATCCCTCTGTGTCCTCTTTACTGCCCTCGTAGCCACCCTTCAGGGAGGAGAAGAGCAACTCCACCTGTGAAACACTGTGAAACAGCCCAGCAATCTGAAGGAACCAGGATCTCTGTATCTTTTACATGTGTCAGCTGCTAAGTGGCAATGAAATACAACCAGCTTCCTCCTACATCACTTTGCCTTCCTAAAATCTTTGACTGAATGTCATGTCATTCCCACTCAGAGATCTCAGAGCGTGGAGAAAACTCTTGCACCTTCTCGGCAAGTACGCAGTTCATGGTCGGTAATTCAGGCAAACCTGATCCATAAAACCATTTCTGCCAATCCACGTTCTGCACAGCTGGCCTTTGTCGCGATTTCAAATCTGCGCCCAAAATTGAAGGTCAATGATGAACAGGCTGAACATCATCAATCTCAAAGTCTAACCGAGTCTAACCGAATCCAATTATCCAATTGAACAGAATTGAACAGAATCAAATCTACCCTATAGGTCACAGGTCTATCCAAAATCTATCCAAAGAATATACTCATGCAATATTCCCCACCCTGCGCGCAAATCCCCTGCAGCACTGGGAGACCAAAGCAACCAATGCATCTGGCTTGAACTTGAAGGAAACAGGAAAGACGGGTCAGTCTCAAGCGTCTGAAGCACATCTTGCAGCCAGAGCTACTCTGAAGAGAAGTGCTCCAGAAAGAAGTTCTTGAAGTCCTCTTCCGTCAAGAAGCCGCCAGCGAAACGTTTCACGTGCGCCCGAAGGTAGGCTTCAAATCTCTCCTCTGCAAGTCAGACAGCCCGTCTGCTTTGCTGCCATGTCAATTTCGTTGTTGTGAGTGGCAATTCACTCCTGGCCCACCAACTTCTCCAAATGAAGCAGCAAGAGCTCACCCTTCCTTGGTACATCAATTCAATCGATCCTTGCCTGTCATGCCGATGGAATGCCTTCCTTTGCCTGCTATTGCCCACTAAATCCACATCTGAGGAGCACATAAGGAACAACGCTGAAGGCATCGTCAGGATCGATTCCCTTCAGTTGCGGGCCTCAGTTGCCAATTGGATTTTGCAAGGCTGCAAGTTAAGCAGTCGCACGGAGAACTTTGCAATGTCATAGTTCTTGGTTGGTGTATGTATTACTGTCCTGGATGGCGTATTACTGGTTTCACGCTTTGCTTGACCCACTGCCAGCCCCCCATTTTTGATGCGAAGAAGTGGAGACATGTGGGGACAAGGCGCAGAGCTTTGTAAACTCGTGGCCAGCACCAAAGAGCTCGACGGATTGCACCAGGTCAAGGCAGTCGTTCCGCACCAGCAGCTGTTCATAGTCCTTGCAGCTCTGGTTGCTGGGGTGAGTACGGTGAATGATTAGCTAGTGTACGCTAGTGTGGACCAGGCAATTGTTGGGCCCTTTTGCAGTGTTACTTCTGCAAGTGAGGCTCCGGTCCGTGGACGTTGTTCATAATCCTGCGCTCTCCAAACTTTGTGAAGCCCTCGTTCAACCAGAAACATTCCTAAATCAGATAGCTTCACAGCATCGCATGGCATGTTTCAGGCACGTCCAAACGTAGCTATGCACTTGCCACCTCCGTGCAACCTGCAACCTGTGCAGTCGAAGCGGCCCAGCTCCGGTTAGTGCATAAATTTCCAAACCAGCTGTGTGTTATTTCATGGGCCACCACGTCTGCCAACGACCGATCGCCCGCCAAGAGAGTTGGAGTTACAAAAGTTAAGCCTCAGTCAGCAGCAGCAAGGGGGGGACAATTTTGATCAATTTTGTGCCTCTGTACTTGCTTGGCTGATCATGTCTGATCGACCCAAAAAAAGGCCAAACTCCACACTGCTGAGTACTGAAAGCAAGCTACTGGCATGCTAGCGGCATTTATACACGATCATTTACGCATCTGTCATTTCCATTTTCTGTGGCGTACAGTGCCACTTGCAAATAAAACCCCGGGCATCTCTTGGCGCTCCTCTCTCCCTCAGGGAGGTTGCAACGTGAAAGACTTCAAGTGTTGGTCTGGAAGAAGTTGGCTAGGCAACTCTGGGCAGAGATGCCAAGGAAATGTGACTGAAATGGTGTTCGAAGCTGCGCCAACTGTCTCCCTTAAGGCAAGCGACACGGGTTTTCCATGCCGCCATAAGGAAAAGATGGAGGCAAAACGAGCAGATCGTAGATGCCCCAAACATATTCACCAAAGAGCTTCTCTCCAATGGCCAGAAACTTCTCGGTGTCCGAAAATTCCTGGTGGCATTCAGATTCATTCAAGACAATCCCTCGTCATGCGACTATCCTATCTATCCTGGCCACCCATCAAAGCTCTGGCAACTCCGCAAAGAACAGCACCGAAAGCTATCAGCTATAAGGGTCATAAAATATCATAAAATGCTATATCATACATGCAGGCATATTGTATGTCTTTATATATATCCTTCCTTTCAGCAACCTTCTCTTTCAGGTTCAGTCAACAACATCACTCGTTGCCCATAATTAAAAATAATCCACCGAGAGCCACTCACAGTTGCTACAATCTGTCCAGATCTTCCATCAGGTCTGGTCCGAGCTGCAAATGCACAGGCCTCCACAGCCTCTGGTTCACTCCACACATGACTACGTGGGCCCACGCGGCGTGAGGCCAAATTTCCACAGGCCAGGGCCAGCAAATACGATGGAATCGGCACCTTCCTGACATTAATTCTGACTCATATCACTCAGAAGTATGAATGTTCGATGAACTCTGTTGGATGCATCATATGCAACATGATTCTACAGCGATGTACGCCCGGGCAGGCTGCAAAGAGATTGTAGATCTCCAAAGCTTCAGGAATATAAAACTTTGCTCTTCAACCTTTGAATGTACCCCTCACTCTCTCTGTTCTCTCTCTCTCTCTCTGAAATTGAAAAAACGTAAGGCCACAAGGCCTTCTTTGAATCGTCTACAGTATGGTTCGTCTTATTCCCAGTGTTTCTCAGAACTTGTTTTTGCCAAGCGACTGCGTGAAGGAAAAGCATCGCTTGCCACCCTCCACTTCCTTGGGCTCGCCGTCCGGCACTGCAGACATGAGCACTGTGAGGGGTGAAGGAGCAGTGATCTTGGCAGTGTACTTGCTCTTGACGCCTGCCACGGGGCCAGGTGGAAGCTACCCTGAGGGTAGCCTGACATATTTCCAAAACGTAAAACAACCATGTAAACAGCGGCCATTTATAACTCGTGTGCACTTTGGTTAGTGGGCAGCTTGCTTCACTAAACCCTGATATGCACCAAGCCAGTGCTTTCTGGTAAATGAAACCTGGCTACCACTTCTGCATAGCGCTATCCTGGTATGTTGACGATTGTGCACTATGGCTCGACCATAGCCTTACTCGACCTTCCTCGATGTGTTCTTAGTATTTCTTAGTGGGGTGGACGAGTGTTGTCAGTTGGCATTGGGGAATGGCCAAAGAGGGAAAACTTGCCTGGTGTGTCTTGGCAGGGCATGAGGCACCGAGCATGAATAGCTTGGCACTGCGTAAAGAGATACGGGTGCTTCTTCCCTTGTGTCTGCTCCTCAGTTAAGTCAACACCAATGGAGAAGAGATTTGGATAGATTTGGGAAACTCAATCACACTGAAAGCATCCAAAATGCATCCACGGGTCCGGAGAGAGCATCTGTATGGCAATGGCGTCCTTATGAAAGCACATGAGTTGATCTGTGGCAAGTTCCATCAGCTAAGAAGAGTGCTAAGAACCATGTTGGGTTTGGGAGTTTGGTATATATGAACTTGGTTGAAA